TATTAATCAACATGAAAACGGTCTTAGTGCGATAATGTATAATTAGTTGTTTTTTAAAACACACATTAGTGTATTTGGAGATTTACTATAACGTCACTGTCAGTGGCTCAGGGTAAGTACGATGCTAAAACTCAGGTTTCGATGCCTGTGGTGGGCAGAGCACACATAGCTCATTATGTAGCATTGTGTTCAGCAACAACCATTCTAAGCTATCATAAAAAATACAACTGTCTTTGTTAGTGAAGAAAAAATTATCAACAATACTCATTATATTATTTTAATTTTTGTAAAGGTTTATTCCAAAGCAACACATTGATGCAGACTTCTTAAATAATTATTAGTATGTATAATAATTTACAACCTTTAAGTAGTTTTTAATTTAATATATCTTAGTGTTTTAGTTGATGAGGTCACCTGTAGTATTATTTATCATGTGACCTAGGTCAGAATTTTCCAATCGTTTTCGTAACACGACCCACCTGAACTTGAAAAAATTCTCGCGGCCCATTGCAGAAATTTTTAGAAATATGACACGTATGGCAAAATTATTTTATAATTGCTATGCTGGGTTCATGCACGTGACATAAGTTTATATTTTGCATTCTGCAAGGTATTATGTAGTTTGCATTATATTTTTGCTGTTTTTAATTTTTTTTTAGAATATTATCATCTAATCTTAATCCTTTTTGCGGCCCACCTCAAACTACTTTCCGGTCCACCAGTGGGCAGCGACCCACCCGTTGAGAAATATGACTTAGCGGTTTTTGGCATATCCCTGTTTATGGAAGATGGTAAGCTCTCGAATTTATATATTTATAAATGATTTTGATTTAATTTACTTTTACAGTTATTTGATGTTTATCCCAAATACTCTTGAATTTTAATGTGTAATAAATATTTTAAAAACTGCACTTACCTTTTATTTTCAAAATTTTTAAACGAGTACAGCTTCAACCATAATTATATTGAGTTGGAATTATCACAAATGCGAAGAAAAATTCGATGACG